CAATCCAAGAATTCTTCAGAACCGGCAGATTATTAGGTCAGATCAATGCTACCATAATCACACTCGTGCCTAAGAAGCAGGGCGCAATACGTTTAACCGAGTTCAGACCGATAAGTTGCTGCAATACCGTGTATAAAATCATATCATCGATACTAGCTCGGAGGTTGGAAGGAGTTCTTCAAGGGGTTGTCTCCAAGAATCAAGTTGCATTTGTCAAAGGCAGGCTGATGTTGGAGAATGTTTTGCTGGCAACAGAGCTTGTACGAGGCTATAATCGCAAAGGGTGTCGAAGCAGTGCAATGATTAAGCTAGATATACGGAAGGCTTTTGATACACTCAACTGGGAATTCATCATCAGGCTCCTTACAGCCTTAGGACTGCCGTCTGTCTTCATTCACTGGATCACAACATGCTTAAAAACTACGAAGTTCTCGATTTCCCTGAACGGAGAGTTGGCAGGATACTTTAAGGGCAAACGGGGACTACGCCAAGGTGATCCAATATCACCATATTTGTTTACATTATCTATGGAGGTACTTTCACGTATGCTTGATGCAGGGGCTGCTGAGAACAAAATTAAGCTCCACCCACGATGTAGTAACCCAATGATCACACACCTTTCATTTGCGGACGATGTGATGATTTTCTCCAATGCGGACACTGCCTCCTTATCGGAAATCATGAAGATTCTGGACTGTTTTGGGAAATACTCGGGACTGCATATGAATAAAACTAAATCGGAGATTTATCTTGCTGGGATTTGTGAGCAGGAAAAGGCTGATATTGCTGAATTGTTGGGATTACGACGGGGAAGGATGCCGGTGAGATATCTGGGGGTTCCACTAAGTTCAACAAGACTCACAAGGCACGACTATAGACCGCTGATAGAGAGAATACAAAGCAAGCTGGATAATTGGGCCAATAATAGCCTTTCCTACGCAGGGAAGGTTCTGCTTGTTTCATCGGTTATATATGGGCTTGTAAACTCATGGAGTATGGTCTTTATGTTACCGAAGTGTGTACTAACGCATATTGATGGTCTATGCTCTAAATTTCTGTGGAAAAATTCTGGAACACGCAGAGTTACTCCAAGGATTGCATGGACAACAGTCTGTCTACCGAAGGAAGAAGGGGGAATCGGATTACGGAAACTGGAGGACTACAATAAGGTATTCAGGCTTAAACTCATTTGGTTGTTGTTCACGAAAGGAGGCTCCCTGTGGGTAGCTTGGACTCGTCTGAATATACTCAAGCAGCGGGGATTTTGGGACACAAAGGCAACCACAGCATCATCTTGGAATCTCAGGAAATTATTGTCGATGAGGGAAACAACACGTTCCTTCATCAAAATACAGGTACGGAATGGACAATCAACTCAGTTCTGGCTTGATGACTGGACAACACATGGACCATTGATTGACCATATAGGAGAGCTTGGGCCGAGACTGTTACGGTTGTCGAAGCACGCAAAAGTAGCAGAGGCGGTCAAGAATGGTGGTTGGTCACTTCCGGCGGCTAGAACAGAAACAATCCAACAGCTTCTATTCTCGTTGACGGATACTGACCTGCCAAGACCGGAACTCGGAGAAGATATGGTACTATGGAAGCAAGACACTGGCGAATTCAAGCACAACTTCTCAACCTCGAAAACTTGGAACCTGATCCGTGCGAACAATCCCACGGTCTCGTGGCATCGTATGGTCTGGTTCCGAGAGGTTGTTCCAAGACACTTTTTCCTACTATGCAGGCCACAGTGTACCTTCTTTGGAGTGAACGTAACAACCGAATCTTCCGGAACGACCCTAAAGCGTCACGCATCAACACCTCTTCTTCGGCTGCACCTACAGCAATGATGTGTGGACATACTATGCCTCATGTTGCTGGGATTCTCCACCGAGTTCACTGCAGGATTGCATTAATTGGACTACAGCAACGGGCAATGATGACGGGAAGAGCAGGGTGACAATCTCCAGACTCATCCTGCAGGCCACAGTGTACCTTCTTTGGAGTGAACGTAACAACCGAATCTTCCGGAACGACCCTAAAGCGTCACATGTTCTGCAACAACAACTCGACAGCATGATGAAAACCAATCTCCTTTCGGTGAAGGGCAGGACACGATCAGCAAACAACATGCTTCTGGAACACTGATACTTTTTGACGGAACGAACTAGAAGGCGATAACGCAACACGACTAAGGAAGTAGGCAACTGACTGCCAATTATTTTGACCACTTGCACATGAGATTTCTTGTATTAGCTTGCTCAATGATTACCCAATACGGGGCTGTTTTGTAAGAATTTTGAACTATACGGCTTAATACTAAATCACATTTAACCAAAAAAAAAATATATATATATATATATCTATATATATATATATGATAAAAATTAGCCTAAATTTGAACTTAATATTTAAATTCAAATTATATACAATAAACAAAAAATTTAAGAAATTAATTATTTTTAACAAAAATAAATAGGGAACTGAATAAATATAATTAAAAAATAAGAAAACTTGAAAATGAAAATAAAGAATCGAGGTCCAAAATGGCTGTGGAGTCAAAAAAATAAAATTGGAAAATAAGAAATCGGAAGGAAAAATCGGGGGCACATGGGAGAGGTGACGGCTCCGTCACCGGCCTTGATTCTCCGAAATAAATACACTTTGTTAAATAAAGTTCGAAATAAAATTTAAAGAAAACAACAATAAACATGAATAATATTTATAACGTATAGTTTGAACGAAATAAATATAAAATAGCTCGGACGTATAAAAATTAAAAGGATTTTATATACGCGGTTCCACCTTGACTTGCATTGCAAAGAGAGCGAGGCCAGCTTGCTTATCCTAAAACTAAATATATATATATATATATATATAGAGAGAGAGAGAGAGAGAGAGGACATTTAGTGTAAATCCTAATCAAATCATATACAAACCGAAGTTAATGTAAGAGCGCAAATATAAAAATTGAATAAGTATATACTAATATTATCTAAAACTATTTTTTTTTTCAAAATTTATTTTTTTCCTCTATATTTGATCAAACTTAATTTAATAAAAATGGATTAATATAGTTTTAAAATAAAAATGACCCAAAAAATAATTAAAACCCAACATTTATCTCTTATATATACACACACATGTAATTTTCTTAATATCAAATTTATCGATATAATGATTATGTATGCTAGCTGTTGCGTCGCAAGTTTTAGGCTTAAAAAATGAATTTTTGAGTGATCTTAAAATAAATACGCTAAATTTATAGTATTATAAAAACAATTGGTGACATATTGAAGTACATTTTTGGAAAGATGGAAAAGAATTTTAGAAGATAATTATATTATATTAGCACACCTTAGTGATACAAGTGAAAACTACTTACTAATTAGTACATCGATCGTACCATGAAATCTTTATTTTATGAAACTCGGTCCAATTAATGATCATGACACGTAACACTTTATCAAATTTCAAATGAAATTCTTTCTCTATGATTAATCTCTCATTATTAAAATATACACATTTGATGTTCCAGCTATCTCTAATAATATATAATCAAAAAAAATTTCCAAAACGAGTTGGGATATACATTTTATTGTTTATTCTTAAATTTGGTATGATGATAATTATTTAATAATTATAAATCCATTTACTCGTTTATGAAATACGTAGCAAATTAATTAATTAATTAAATGGAGAAAGTACAAGTGTACAATTATTGCAAAGCATTTCGGGTCACCTCCATCCCTATCTGCCTGCTTCCTCTCTTCGGCTCCAAATGCTTTGATCTCTCATCGGCTCGGCTCAATAACCGTTGGTATACGTAAACCGGTTCGACCGGTTAAGCTAAATTCGAACTCAAACTCGGCCAAATAAGAGTGTTTGGAACTAAAACTAATTATAGGTTTCACTTTATAATAACCAACACATTACTTCTTGGAAACGGATCATTAGTTATTATATTATAATAAAACAGCATAACTATTAATTACATGCGTTTTAGATCATAGATTCGTGATGATTACTTATGAAAATGTTGACAAGGTAAATTTTTGGATATTTATAAGAGTATACATACAAATAGAGTATGTCATGCACATCTTGGTCTAAAAGGGTTTCGATTTATCTTCGTCCTAAGTAGAAATTAAAATATTATAGTATAAATGCTTTACAATTTTTTATCTTTTCAAAATTTATCTATATTATTTTCATTGTCAAAAATCATGCATAAATATATTTTGTATCATATTAGTAAGTATGCTTTATACCAAATTATTTTTGAAAGCTTAAAACAATTGTTGTAAATATACGAGCTCAACAATTATGTTGGTGTGTGTGTGTATATGTATAACAATTATGTTGGTGTATGTATACATGTATGTATGGATGTATTTATTTTCATTTTTTGATTATTTTTATTTTTATAGGTGTGGTCTCCTGTATACTAGCCACATTGGCGGGTCAAACGCCACATAATCACATTTGTAATCCGTGTGTAAATCAGTAAACCACATCACCAAACTAAGTTTTTTTGGTCAAAATTTAAGATTTTAAGATTTTTTTTAGACAAAATATTATAGTTAAGGTTTTTTTTATAAAAAATTTAGTTTAGATATTTATTTGTCAAATACGAAATGTTTTTTTATTCAATTTTCCATTTGGGATATAGTAAGTTAGTAATATAAATCCGAAACCCAAGAACTAAACCACCGGCCGGTTTAGTTTGGTTGTTCTACCGAACTAATAAATCCCGCTCAGTCTCTAAGCCGGTATAGTTAAAACCGGTCCGACATAGGAACCGACTCTCCGCGGCTTCACCACCCTTCTCTCACTTCCTTCTTCCTCGCTACGTAAGCTCTCTCTCTCTCTCATACACATACGCACACATACGTATGTATATATATACCCCAGCCTTCACCAAGATTCTCACCATCGAAAATCCAAAAAATCACAAACAAGAACGACAGAAAAGAGAATTTTGAATCCGACCCGTAAAAAAAATAGGGGAAAAAAATCCGACCCGGATCATCAGAACCATGAGAGGCGCGATGAAGAAGTTGATATGCTGCGGATCCAAGAGCTTCGGTGAAGGAAATGCAAAGACATTACCCGAAGAAGGTAGAGTTCGTGTTTATGTCGGGAACGACAGAGAGACGCAATGCAAGTTAGAGATGGAAGCCAACTTCTTGAACCACCCTTTGTTCGAGGAAATGCTTCGTTTGTCGGAAGAAGAGTTCGGATTCTCGTACGACGGCGCGTTGAGGATCGCTTGCGATGTCGATGTTTTCATGCATTTGATTCATCTCCTCAAATCGAGTGACCCTTCGGCCCATTACATGGATCTTCATGATCTTCTCTCCAAGTTCCACACGCAGAGTAACAATGGCGATGTTGGATCGAGCAATGCAGCGAGGAGAAGAAGAAGGTAGCCTCTTGTGAAGGACAATGCGTGTGTTTTCTATCATCACACATGCATACATACACACATGCATATACACACACGTATACTTGTCTTTATTAGTGATCTTAACCATTCTTTGAAAGATCTTGTCTTTGTTCTTGGTTTGATTCAAAAAGAACAGAAGAACTGTAATGTTTTTGTCGATATTGATACACACGGTTAATTCAACTGTAGGATCACACCGCAATTAATTTCCTTTTTTTCTCTGATAATATATATATATATATATATATATCAACAATATGAAGCAAAGACCTTCATAGTATCCAAAATTCATGGTGATGGGAACTTTGAAAATTTTGAATTTATATATTATTATTACTATCTTTTACGATTAATTCATGTTAATCAATGTGGGGTGAATAGTTAGCTTATTTAATAAAATGTTCTTGTAAAAATTTCAGATGCATGTTTTCATGAGGATATTATGTTTTGCCTGTTTTCAATATCTTCAGTTGGCCTTGTTTTCTATTCCACATGTCGGATAAAATTCACATCGGCTAGCAAGTTAATGCAATATCTATGGTAAAAGTCTATCTAGTCTCCGAATTCGGGCATTCACCCAAGTTTTCTTATCTCTTGGGATTAATTTGAGTTTTGATTTAGAATACTCAATTATCAACAAAAAAAAAACTATAGTAAAAGTCTATCTAGTCTCCAAATTCGGACATTCATCTGAGTTTCCTCTATTTTTTGAGATTAGTTTGAGTTTTGATTTAAGATATTCAGTTATCCAAAAAAAAATCTATAGTAAAAGTTTTGGCTGTCTTTAGTCTTGTCTAAAATGTCTTTTAAGAAATATAGCCAAATTCAATTTGTTTGGATTTATTTTAATAATAATAATAATAATTTCATGGATTATGCTTAAGCTGAAGCTACTAGAGTTGTCTTGGTAAGAAAGCAAAAGAGAAACCGAGACCATGAGGAGGTGTACAATTTAATTATAGTATGAAAATTATTTTTGGATTTGAGAGATGTAATCGGTCGAAGTCGAAGTCTCCGTGAAATTGCGAATTATAAAAAAAAAACTGAATTATACATAACTCTGACACTTCTTTTCTTATGAAATCATTACATTGAGATAAAAAAAATAATACAAAAAAGTTAGAAAAGGATATATATATAGAGAGAACAGCTGGAAGAAGGAGCAAATGCGAAATTATTTATTTAAAAATTTTATTATATTATTGCAGAGGAATGAAGAGATAAATATAATTAAAGGGAGATTAATTACAGCGAATAAAAGAATTTAAGGAATCATAAGGGGCACATGCCTTTGAGGATATTTGTCAAAACCAATCAAATCCCTCACATGCGAATGTTCACGTCTTCATTGCCCCAAATTAATTAATTTGCGCTCTGTTGATATCCAAATCTGTAGAATTTTCTTAGCTTTGAAACTTTCTTTTCCTCCTTTTTTTTCCCTATGAGTCGTTTCATTCTTCTAGAATATGGTACAGTGACCTCATACGGCAATTTACGATCCAATTATTCATTCCACATTGTCAACATTTGGATTTCAATATATGTAATTTGATCGGTCAATATATCATCGCAATATTGTATTCCAATTGAATTCAATTTTAAATTAATTTGGATACAATTTCCTAAGATATAATTATTCAAGCAGATATAAAAATAAACAAAAAATCAAATATAAATCACGATTAATTATAAAAATAAATATTATTTTTGGTACAATCAAATAAAAAGTATCCGAACCAAAATCTCTACCGAAGTGAATGTCTATTTTTATTAATAAAAAACCAAAATCACAAATAAATAAATCCAAATCGGAATTATGGGTGGTTAGTTCGTCCTGAGCTAAACTCTGGATTATATATTTTAGGGGTGAACATTTCGATACGGTTCATCAAAACCAAACCATATCAAATCAAAAAAAAAATATTACTGTTCTTGAACCAAATCATCCAAAATTTTCGAATAAAAATTGAATTTTTCAGAACCGAACCAAACCAAATCAAACCAAATTTTAAAAAAACTCAAAACACCGAAAATTTCTTAATAAAAATAGAAACCGAATCTGAAACTGAATCAAAACGAATATAAAATAATAACCGATTGATATATATTTTTATAAAATCGAAAAAATGGAATGGAATAATTTCTAAACCAAACCCAAATTGAATAGGCAATATAGTAAAAATACCCTTACTTTGCTACAAAGATTTCATGGTATACCCTTCAAAACCCTAAAATGTTGGAAAAAAATAAAAGGAACAAAAGACATAATTAACCCTCTCACAAAAGTAACGTGATACTCCTCTCTTCATTTTGAATTCATCTCTCTCGTTTTCATTCTTTGACAACTCTTCATTTCTTTCTTAACTTTCTCTCTCAACTCTTATCTTTCTCTCAACTCTTCCATTTTCTCCCTTCTCATTTCATTTTTTATACATAGAAAAACAAACGAAAAATGGTTATTTCGTTGAGCATATCTTCACCGACGACCTCATATCTTCTTCTTGAGTCGGTCTAAGACAGAACAAATGACAAGAACTGAAGGTAAGTTCATTAATACAAGAGATTGGTTCGATGCATAAACTTTGTGTTTTGAGTTTGAGTTTTATGATTGTTAGAGTGAATCGTGTGGTTTTTCTATGAAAATGAGATAGATGCATAGCAAATCTGTCGAAGAATATGCAAGAGGCGCATATTTAATTTCAAATAAATGTTCGGAGCGATAATGGAACGGATTGACAACAAAAACAAAGGTACGTCACATTGGTTACACCGTTTAAAATTTAATTTTGATCACACTGGTCACACTAGTCACCTTGGTCACACCGTTCAAAATTTAGTTTTGGTCACACTAGTCATATTGGTCACACTGGTCACACTAGTCACATTGGTCACACTGGTCACACTAGTCACATTGGTCACACTGGTCACACTAGTCACATTGGTCACAATGGTCACACCGTTCAAATTTTAGTTTTGGTCACACTAGTCATATTGGTCACACTGGTCACACTAGTCACTTGGTCACACTAGTCACACTGGTCACACCGAAAATTTTTAAAATTCACGCGAAAATATTTATTTTTTTGTGATGGAGGGAGTTTTAAAAATTTTAAAAAATTTTAATTTTTTTCTAGGAAATCGAAAACTGTTTTTTTCTCTCTCTTCTCATTAGTGTTTTTATCATTGGGGCCCACACCAATGGGTATTTTGGGAATAACATAATTATAAAGGTATGTTTTGAAGTAGTTTTTTTTTTATTTTTGGAGGGGTATGCTGTGAAGTCTTTATAGCATAATAGGGGTATTTTTGATAAAACTCGGCCAGACATAACAGAATCATGTTGCACCCAAAATGTCGGAATCCTCAAATCACTCATCTGATATTTGCAGATGATGTGATGATATTTAGCAAGGCAGACCCTTCTTCGGTTCAAGAAATAATGAAGGTGATTAAGGAGTTCGGTGGTATGTCGGGCCTGCGAATTAACTCGGTCAAATCAGACATTTACATAAGTCCTGTCTCAGAGAATTGTAAGAGGGAATTGTTGGACATTTCGGGTATAACAGAGGGCACCCTACCAGTTCGTTACTTGCACTACAAAAAAATCCGCAAATTCCAACGGATTTGTCCGTTGGAAAATTTCCAACGGATTTTCAATGGTTTTCAACGGCGTTTCAACGACGATCTCCGTTAAAATTCCGTTGAAAATTTCCAACGGATACCCGTTAGAAACACCCGTTGGAAATTTTTAACGGAATTTTCAACGTATTCAATTGAAAAATTAGGTTGGAAATTTCCAACGGTATTTCCAACGGATATCCGTTGGAAATTTTCAACGGATTAACGTTGGAAAAATCGGTTGTAAATTTTTAACGGAGTTCCAACGGATGTTTGTTAGAAAACAATTCCAACGGATGCCGGTTGGAAATTTTTTTGGAAATTTTTTTAAAACAATTTCCAACCGAATTCCAACGGATGCCGGTTGGAAATTTTTTTGAAAATTTAAAAAAAAAAAATTCCAACGGACATCGGTTGGAAATTTGGATTTTAATTGAAAAATCAATTGATATATATATATATATATATATATATATATATATTTGTTATGTATATATAAAATATATATACACAAAATATACATGTATT